GCGAGCCGGGGGAGCGGCCCCACCCCGGGCTTCACCCTGCGCCTGGCCCCGGGGCCCGACGGTCGCCCCGCGCCTCCGCTTTCCGGGCTGCGTCCCCGGGCCCTCTACACCCCTCGGCGTCCGCAGGGATGTCGGCCTTTGGCGCGCCCCTGGACCATCTCCGGGCCAAGATCACCGGCCTCCGCGGCCGGCCTCGGCTTTGTTTATCCTTGTGAAATAACAGCAAGGTTTATAATGATTCCCACTATACTTCGAGTTTAGAAAGCTAACTTTCCTGTTATTTCATCCACCCCTTGCTAAACCCAGTCCAAAAGGCGGTTCTGTATTGTTTCCTTGTGACTGAGAAGGCAGCTGGGGGCCCAGAGAAGTTAAGGATCTTGCCCCAGACCACACGGCAGCCCCCAGGCCACAGCTCAAGCTCTCTTATCTCACAGGGCTGCCCCAAGGCGTGCTATTTCTCTTCTGCATCTTCTGTGTGGTTCCAGGTAGGAAGCCAAAGGAAGCGCAGGGCTGGGAGTAAGGTTTAGTGGGAGACATGGTGGGATCCGGGGTCCTGGCCCTTGCTACTTGAAAGGCACGGTGCCTCCCGACTTTGCTCCATCTGTGAGTTGCTCCCAACATTGGAAGCAGGATAACTTCTAGGGTCCAGGCAGGGACAGAACAGTAGCCCTCAACCTCAGAGTACAGGCGGCCCTCCTGCATGTACTCCACTATATTTAATCCCAAACCCAAATTAAAGCGGAATGAAAGAGGGTACCTATTTATTCTGAGCCAACTGCAGCCTGGCTAGCAACACTCAGCTCAACCTTGTTCAGAATGCCATGTATTTTCACCTGGGTGTTCCCACAGTTGCCTTTGTCTCTAAAACACACACGCACACACACACACGCACGCACACATGCACACACCCCATGCTCACTTTCTAATCATTTGTTTACATAAAATAGAGAACCATGAGTCACATATAATAGGTTCTTGGTCTTATTACATCTGAACAGATTTGAAAATTCCTTTTCAAAATCAAAATATATTAATTGGCTCCATTGCCTTTAGGATAAAATCCCCTTTGTACTGCTACTTCCTTTTCCAGGAACATCCTCCCCACCCCACCCCCCTCACTGTATGATAGCAGTCCAGCTGGGCCTCCCTCCTCCCCAAGGCCTTCTCCCGTTCCACTCCTCCCCACACTACCACCAGGCCAGGCCCCCTGCGGTCTCGGCAGAAGAGATTCTGGTGCACCCACGTTGTCTTCTAACCTCATGTCTATCTCTCTGCCTGCCCCACCTCTGCACCCATATAGAAAGCTCTTTTAACATCCCATTCTGCCTGTATGCCTGCCGAAGCAGAGGAAGGCACCGTTTCCCCCATCCATTCCCTCCCTGACAGCAGGAACTCTGTCTCTTTTCTTGGTCCCTTTCTCAGCCCATAGTAGGCCCTCAGGGAGAGCCCGCTGAGTGTAGAGGTTACTGTTTTGGACTTGGTTCAAACCTCAACTCTACCACTTCCCAGGCGCCGAGCTTGAGTAAGTCCCTCAACCTTGTAAAGTAAGGGAAGTAATAGTTCCTCTGCCTCAACATTGACACCATAATAAGGACTTTATAAGCCTTGTTATTTTTAGCTGCTGTGTATGCAGCTAGTAAATGACTCAACTTATTGTTTGTTTAATTGCTAAACAGAAGGGCTTCACGGCCATCTCTAAAACCCCCAGCACCATGCCAGGTAAGTAGCCCTCGGCGAATAATTGTTCATGGGCGGGGACATGCCCAGGATCATGAAGTGGCAGCTTGATGTAGTGGTTATAAGCCAGACTGCTGGGTTTGGCTCCTGGCTCTGTCACTTTGCCAACTGTGAGATCTTAAAAATTACTTAAATCTTCTAGGCTCCAGTGTCCTCATGGCTATGGTAAGAGAATAACAAAAACTCCTTCCTCATGAATTGTTAGGAGGGATAAATGAATTAAGGCGCAATGTTTTCTCTCCAGCGCCTCTAATACCTGTGTGAGTCCTCCCACCAGCTCACCCCAGCTTAAGAAGATGAGTCAGCTAGTTTGCCTCAAGTCAACCTACAGTTCAGGTTTCCTGAATGGTCCAAAACCACAAGTCAGGAATAACTGTCAGTGCTGGTGGAAGGTGTGGGATTCAGGGCTCAAGGCTGTAGGCCAGGGGGATTCAGGGTGATCTCAAAAGATGGGGGGTGGGATGGGCCGAGTGGTTCTGGATGAGTGGAGGGAGGAGTGTGCTATGTATGGGCACTGGGGAAATGGGCAGGTGGGATGCCCCCCTTCCCATCTGGGAGGGGTGATCATACAGAATGCCACAGTCAAGTCTCAATGTGGTGACAGGCCATGGGGAGCCACTGCATACTCTAGAGCAGGAGCATGGCTTGCTAGAAGTCAAGGTGGAGTAAGAGAGGTCAGAGCCAGTGTGAGGGGCTGCAGCTGGGAAGTGAAGAGAAGGAAAGGACGCATGATTTGGTGACCTCCTGAGACCGTGGGAGGAGTAAGGAAGTCTGCCCCATTCGCCTGAAGCACCAGGAGGACACCTAGAGGCTCTCCAGTCCTGCGCTCTCACCTCTCGGTCTCGTGGCTGCCACAGCTCAGACTGCCTGGTTTCCAGAACCCCCTCCTCCAGGTCCAGCCACACCCACACGGGGACTGCCTTGCTCAAGAATCTGCAGTGGCTCCCTGCCTCGCCTCTCCTATGGTGGCCCCCCAAGCACAGTCATGCTTGCTTCTGTCTCTGAGGGTTTGCCACCCCCCCCCGCCCCCTTCCTGGAATGTCTTTGCTACTTGTCTTCATCCCTCTGCCCCACATTCTACCCTTTCTTCAGGCCCACCGAGCCCACCTCACTTCTGGGAAGCCCTGAGAGGGGAACCTGTTTAACATTGCTCAGCCTCGTCCTCGCTGACCTCAGCAAGAGCAGTGACAGCTGCTGCCGATGCCATTTATGGAGCATTTCCTCTCTGCCAGGCACGGGGTGAAGTTGTTTACATGTGAAAACTCATTGAATTCTTACCATGACCCCAGGAAATAGGCCTTCCTGCCCCCTTCTTGCAGATGAGGAAACCGAGGCTCGGCGGCTAGGGGACTTGCCAAAGGCCACAGGATTAATAAGTGGCAAAGCCACCTGCTTATCTCCAAGCCCCTGCTCTTAAACTTGCTGCTTTTCTGCAGCCTCTGGCAGGTGCGCTCAGGGTGGCCCTGCTGCCAACCGGAGTCCACGGGAAAGATTCCTGGGGCTGTGGGGCTCGGGGGCAGTCCTGTGCAGACTGGGGCTTTGTTCTGATTTATAGGATCGTGTTATTGCAGATTGACTGGGGGCGGGTGGGGGCATGCGTGAGGAAATCAATGACCAGTCATGTGACCTGGGGGAAGTCACTCGCCTCTTAGGGCTTCTATTTCCTCATTTGTAAAATGAGACGATAACTCACACTTCACAGAACCGCTGTGGGGATCAGGTGAGATGCAAAGCAGGTGAAGTGCCCCATATAATCTTGGCACGGAGTTACTCAGTAACTCGGGGTGCCCGGTCAATGATAATGACCCTAACATTAATTGAGTTATGCTATGTATGGGCAACTCTGCTAAGTCCTCTCTATGCACAGTCTTGTTTCATCCTCAACATACTATGGGGCGGGTCCCATGGGTGTCCTCATACTATGTCTGAGCATCAGGGAGGTTAAGTTGCCCTAGGTCACACAGCTGGTGAGAGACAGCCCAGGGCCAGCTCGTGCAGCCTGGCACAAGGCTTGCCTAACATCCTGGTACTCTACACCAGGTTGATACTCAAAATATCAAACTATTCATGAGGCATACATATCAGTGAATTCGAACTAACATCAGCCAGGAGGCTGCCCTGGTTCTAACCACTGACCCCCACTGCCTCCCATTCTCAGGTCAGATATTCCATATTCCCTTCCTGTCTTCTTCCCCCAGAGACTCCAGAATCCTCGAGGGGCAGGACTCCGCCATGTCCCTTCCTTCTTCACATAGTATCAGGCGCAACGAGGTGTCCACGAAACAGTGGCTGCGCTAAATTCCAACAGGGACATCCAAGAAGCTACCGGCGAGAACAGATCTCCAGTGAGAAGCCAGAGTCAGGGAGAGGAATTCTGAGCTGGCGGCGCAGAGCAGGGAAGGGGAGCCCGGGGGAGACGAGCGGTTGGTGGTGGCAGGCCAAAGCTTACCTGGAGGGGACCTGGCTGGCTTTCCCCACATTGTTGTTGATGTCTGTTTCCTTGGTCAAGTCGAACCAGTAGGATCTGGCCTTGAACAAGAACTGCCAGGGATAGGCCATCTCTACGGCTTTGCAGAGCTGGTCACTTGTCTGGATTTAAACTCCAAGGTTCTTCACTGTGGGGCTGACGAAGGGGAAGGAGATGGTGTCAGGTTAGGAAGAGTTTGCAGAACCGAGCCTCCTCGATATGGTTAGTTTATTACAGAATCAGTACAAGAGCTGACATAAACAGTCTTAAACACGCACTTCATCCCTGCTTGCAACCTCTGTTCCTATTTTGAGATTGGATTTGGGAATCCATGGACATGGGTTTTAATTCGACAAAGCCACATAACAATCTAAAGGAAAGACACTGAACCCCATAGCTCAACGAGGACAAAGCACGTACCCTTTGAACCTCCTCAATGGGATCTGCTGGCCCCCCTAACCTCGGGCAAGGTGGGGAGGAGCCCACTTTCGTTGAAACGTGGATGCCTGGTTCTGCAAGGTCATTCCCAGCAGTCTAATTAGCAACTGTCATGTTACACCTGTCATTGGAGAGCGCACTCAAGTTGTAGCTGCCTTTAAGATTTTGCAACTGTTGTCAACCTTACCGTCTGCTCCTTTTTTATGGGGGGCGGGGAGTCATATTTGTTTGAGACTGTTTGTGGAATTGTTTGTGAAAAAATGTACTCAACCCTCAACATTTGAGACCACCTTCTTTAAAAAAGGTGAAAAAGGGACAGCAAAGTTGGGGCACCTGGGTGGCTCAGTCGGTTAAGCGTCTGCCTTCGGCTCAGGTCATGATCCCAGGGTCCTGGGATCGAGCCCCTCATTGGGCTCCCTGCTCGGCGGGAAGCCTGCTTCTCCCTCTCCCCCTCCCCCTGCTTGTGTTTCCTCTCTCACTGTGTCTCTATCAAAAAAAAAAAAAAAAGGGACAGCAAAGTAGAGGCCCAGGTCGGGTCTGGGCTTGCCCCCAGCATGCCTTCTCAATGGCAAAACCCTCCGCCCTGGGAGGCAGTGTGTGATGTGGCCCATGGAAGAATCTTAGACGCCCCCAAACCTGGGTTCAAGTCCTGGCTCTACTAGTTACATAACCTGGATCATTTATTTACCCGAGACTCATTTCTTCATCTGTAAAATGGATTTAATAATATTCATCTTCCAGGAGAGAGATGCCCCTTATAAGGACTGGACAGGATAATCTGGGTAAAAATTCTTAGTGGATTCCTCCCCGCTCTCCAATCTGAATTTTCCAAAAATGGTTTCCCTTGAAATGTAGCAAATTTTGCAGGAAAAATATCTGAGCGAGATGCCCTTTTCAAATGGCCCAACCTCCTGTGGGCATTTCTTAGATTTTCCACCAGTTTATCTCTGTAGGCAGAAAATTCCCACAGTTTTCAGGGCCTTCCCAGACAGGAAGAAGCAAAACCCTCTTGAAACAGTTGCTTCCCCAGAAATGAAGACAACTCACCTTGCAGCTGGTTGCCCTGCGTCTGCAGAGGATGGACAAACACACAGGGAGACTTGCACCTTGACGCCTTCAGAACCACCTCTAACCCAGTGCTCTTGCCAACGGTGGCTGAGAGTTCCAGAACAGCGACGCCAAGTTCTCTGGGGCCAGACAGTCTCAGGCTCAACTGACTGCACAAAGTTATAAGCGCACCGGCAGCTAAGATGTATTTATACCCACCCCATGTTATCCAGAGAGCCTTTTTTGCATAAAGGTCTTTTTTGTTGTTTCCAAAGGGAGTGTCCCCAGCCGGGTGTATAGTTAGGTAATTTATGACTGGGGCTCCTGGCCTGTGGATGACCTACCCTGCTGTTACATCACTCTGTGCAGAGCATCCTCAGTAAACCCACTGCTTCCTGGTCCCAGGTCCATGGCAGCAGCTTGTCAGTGGGGGTGGGGTCGGGGGGTGGGGGGTGGTCTGATAAAGGAGTCATCGTGGAGCCGGGTTTTATTTAGCTAAGCCACATTCGTCTGGCTTTCAGCATCTGGGTCCTTTTTTCCCTCAGCAGGGAGCTCTCTGGTTAATTCCTGTCCGGCCTCTTAGTTTTCCAGTCTGTGGCGGGAGTCCAGGAAGCTGGGGAGTATTGACAGCATGGAACACGCTGGAAAATGCCCAGGTTACAGAAGTCCGGTGATGTTAGATGATGCCAGTGTTCCAAACGGGTCACTGAAATATTCAGCTTGCGGTTTGGGGAGGGGAAGGAGAGCCGCGGGCACAGGGAGACCGCTCAGATGTGGGTGACGCTGATGTCTTACCCTTCAGCTCTAAGTAAGCTATGGTAGGACGGCAGGTAGAATTATTTTCTACAGGGGAAAAAATTCCTGTCTTATAACAGAAATTCTTTTATAACTTATTCTATGGAAAATTATCATTTCTTTTTTTTTTTTAAAGATTTTATTTATTTATTTGAGAGAGAGAATGAGATAGAGAGAGAGAGCATGAGAAGGGGGAGGGTCAGGGGGAGAAGCAGACTCTCTGCTGAGCAGGGAGCCCGATGTGGGACTCGATCCCGGGACTCCAGGATCATGACCTGAG